AGCAGAACCGACCCGGGAAACTTGGGTAAGAGCCTCGATCCTGTGTATCAATCGGTGAGTCCGTGAAATCTTAATGACCTGATATTGGTTCAGCGGGTGACGTTCCCCCAAAATTAAGATAAACACCAGGTAATCTTGTTTCATTCCTATTCCACTTTATTCCTTGGAAAGTCTACATCATATGTCGCCCAATTTTGCGACGTTGTCCTTTTTCGTGAAATCCTCAGGACTCGCAATTTCCGCAAGTCCTGATCTGTTCTGACCGTCGCCGTACGATCGTGCATGACTGTAGGCTACCCACCAGTTGTGAATAACCGTTATTATTATTATTAGTTATATTCACGGACCGGCACACATGCTCAAGGCTTTTGCCCAAATTGCCCATGTCTTTTTTCCTCGTTTAGAGGCTGCCGCTCACCTAATTACCGCAAGCAAAAATAGGGTATGGCTTTGTTTTTCAAGTTGTCAACGCGTGGCAGCAGGCTGGCCAGCGCGTGAATTAATGTAAAGAAGCGTCCGATGCTGCCTGGGTTCGTGTACCTTATTCAGCGTGGACAACAGTTGGAGGAAGATTAGTGCACACAGCCATTACCCGAAACGACGAACAAGTTTGCCTAATAAATGTGCGCACTCTGATGATGTAAGCATCCTAACCAAGTCCAGGCCGTGTATTAGCTTGGTGAACGCTGAGAAACCTGTGGGCCGAACCTCGTTCAAATAGGGCATAAGTATTACGTCACCCCCAAGGCAATAATACTCCAGGGGAAAGAGGTCGAGCAACACGGGACGCGTTTCGCAGTCCGCGGATTTATGGCCGGCAACCATTTTCGTAGAAGCTCTTTTGGCTCGTTCAAATGGGGTTACATATTTCTTGTATCCTGAGCAGACAACTTGATGATCCTATTCAAAAAGCGTTCTGACGTAGGCCCCGTGGAATATTCGGGAGTCCATCCCAATAATACAAGGGAAGGTGCGGCGACTCATCCGTAGAACTGCAAAAGCCTCTTGAGCCGATTTTCTATGTTGCGTTGGAAAGAACATGTTTGAAAAGAGCCAGGTGCTTAAGGCGTTTGGGCACCTATCCTGGAGTTGTCTGCTAGTACATTCTCATTATGCAGGAAAAGGCATTCACTAAGTCCCCTCTGAATGATATATGGACGCGATTTTCGTCAGTCAGGGGAAATTGCTACCATAACGAATAATAATTCGCAACATCAAACATTCATTTCCATGTCGCTGGCATATGAGCTACTGCATTTCAAATCGTCCGCAAGGGCAAATTATTACCTTGAAAGAACATCTGGAACGACGCTGACGTATAACAGAAACAGCAATGGTTCCACCACGAACCCACGAGTAGCTCTAATGATTACCAGCGCCGGAGAGGGGCATCATTTCTACTTTCAATTTGAACGTTGTGTATGTTGTGTCCCCCAATCCAAAGTGTAATTTCTCTTGTTCTCCTCAAGACTCGATTTTCTGAGGCAGCGGGACGTGCGGAACTCAACCAAATGCTTTTTACATGCAAAAATATGTTATTCCATTGAAGCTCATCGTCCTTAGCTAGGATTACGGCGTACATAACTACGAGCGTTTTCGCCGTTCAAGAATGGTTTTGGAGGAATCCTGGTTGATTTGGGGACATTAAGTTGTAATATGAAGGTGATCTAGGATGGTCCACTTTAGAATGCGTTTCAACACCTTACATGGTGCACTGGCGGGGCTAATAGGTCTGTAGCAGTCATGCGCTATTCAGTGACCAGTTTTGTGGATTTGTGTGGCAATCGTCTCTTTCCAAGGAAATGGAAAGTTGCCTTGGTCAGGCGACTGTCGAAAAAACACCTAGAAATCCTTTGTTAATGTGAATGATGTTTCCTTAGGTGGCTTCGGCTGTGTCTCCTCTGGCTTTAGCGCGCAACATGGGTTTGTGCTGTCCTCAGTGACGACCGCGTTGATCGGGGTCCGTTTTGTTACGCTATGACGCGTTTGGATGTGGCCTGGTCGCTGGCGGAGGCTGTCCGGTTTTATCAAACAGGCATATCAACACCATGTGGCACCACGTTTGAAGCTTCTGTTTTAAATGCCGATGAGTTTTCAAGAGAAACGCTTCCCTCTTGCTTGTGATGATCGGGCATACGGAAGGAAATGTTGTAATTCCAGGTTTACGTGTTTAGGTTGCGAATCACACAGGCCTATACATTCTTTTAATTAGATACCCCTTTGACAGAAAGCCTGGAAACAGTTCCTTGGGCATAATTACCAATGACGTAGTATAGCGGTGGTGGAAAGAGAAGGCAGGCCACTTCTGCACGAATAAAAAGTGTGTATACTAATTTTCAGGACGTCCCCACACATTAAAAAAGCACATGTGCAGAGAATGGCGCATCCCCAAGATTACCATCCGCATGACGTGTTTCGGAGAGCAGGTGCGTTGGCGGAGCTCACCAAACACGGCTTAGTAAAATAAGATTAATGAAGTGCGGCTGAAGTTGTTCACGACCGGAGCACCGATATCGGCTGTACAGAATGGACAGGTGAACGACCATATTTGGTCATTTAGTCATCCGATGTATTTACGCAGAAGTTCTGTATGTTTTCTCTAAACAATACAGCTGTGCCCCGAGTTCTATATCTTCTCCTTATTGCGTAGTCTGGCAGGCTTAGTGCAGGCGTAAAACAACAGACGGCCACCCACGTTACAACGCTAATGATTTGGGCGCGTGATTAATGGGCGGTGTGAAACGACTGAAGTTAAGCACAGTAAACATTAGTCGAAAACCAGACCTTTCACTGCTTAGGAGCTTCCACCACACCACATTTTCGAATGCAGCCCGTTCTCAGTAAGTAGCGGTTTTCGAAAACCTAATCTTTCCGACGCCATAGTAACATTCTTGCATGATGCTCCGAGGGCATATTTTGTAGGACATTCAGGAAATCTGACAAGGGAACACTGTAGTCTGCGTTCAATTTGAGAGGGATCCACGGATAAAGGAGTGTGATGGAACCATCATTAAAGAGGTTGAGAGTCTTCTCTTGAGCTAGTCGTCAAAGAAAAGGTCAGTTTCATTCCACGGTGGACCCATCAAACCGCAAATTTACAGTACAAATATTTAGGATTGCTCTTTGTTTGTTTACCGGGTTCCCAAGTTGACAGCAATGGATTACAACATTCCGCGTAGCCATTAGACCAGACGGGACCTTGTTTGTGCTACCGAGTTTTGCATCTCAGCTCTGACTGAAAAAAAACCGGATGTCTCAAGCAGCGCATTAGTTTGGCCAGTTCCGAAAGCAGATCGTCCGGAACCCGTTCATGCAAAGCGTTGGCAGATGTCAGACGACGGTTGGTTTAGGGAAATAGATCAGGGATCTAGTTGGAAAAGGCAAGTATAACATCTGGGCAGCCAAGGATATCGCAGAACAACTGAGGCAATCAGATTATTCACAGTTAGTACCATGCACACTGTAGAATACTTCGACGTATTCAGGAAAGCCCACTTGAATGACGCGCGAAACCACCAACCAGAACTTGCGGATCCTTGAGATTTATCAAAAGATGCGTTACTACATGCATAAAATACGTAAAAAGGGGTACAACCCTCAAATTATGGGGGTTTCCGTCTAAGCAGTTTCACGAAGTAGTGCAGGTCCAAAGAAAGCCCAGAGAAGATAGCAAATCGATCTTAGTTTGCGACGCACTCCTGGGTACAATACGTGGTAACGCCTGTAACGCAGTTGAAACTTGACTGTACTGGCTTTCACGTTTAACACATGACCTTATGTGTGCCTCCCTCTCTCTCCCCTATTGCAGGTACCACGGACGAGTCACCACGGGCCCCGAACAGGGAAGAGTATCCCACTTGTACACCCCCTAACTGACCTTGGCCCAAACTTGTACACCCCCCGACTTCCGGTTTCGGTTTCGTTCGAATACACGCGTGTCGTTACCACGCTCCGGTGTTCTCTTCTGTCTCACCCGACCTGTGCGCATGTGTGCTGCGTATACCGTGTGGACTCATTAATACCAGTCCGTATCTCCGCACATTTCAGAACTGACGTGTGCGGTCACCACATCCTCTCGAACATCGAATACCGCTGACTAAGCGTGGTCTGCAGGGATTTCGGGAAGCAACAAAGAGTAAACACCGAACGATGCAGAAACATACAGATACGGTCAGCATATCAATGTGAGTAGGTCTAATAGTGAGATAACGACGCAGGAATCGATCGGCAGTTTCGGGAAGTTATGGACTGTCTTTGGTTGATGGCAGGATGCGGTAGCCCGCGTCATTTGATAGCTCAGATTGCGCGGTTATGTCCGCTCAAAATCAATCTCACCAAAAGCTATATGGCAGATGCGGCATTTAGGTAACAGTAAAAACAGAGCCTGTCCGGTGTCGAGTTTGTGTTGCGGGCACTTGCACTCATCCGAGCAGCCCTCAGTTTGATCTCCGGTCAGTCCTTTTTTCTCTCAGAGCAGACGCTAAAGAATATATGGAGCTGAGTTAAACTAGCGAGAAATGACGGATTTGCAACAATATAGTTACGTCAGTTACTGGCTAATAAGCGGAACATGGGTAGGGGCAAAACTGGACGAAGTGGGCGGCAAGGAAACTAGGCAGCTTTACAATAAAAGGGTGTAAATCTCGTCACTTATGGTTAGTTAGAACATAAAAGAAAATGAACGCGGTTCACCGTTGATCCATACGGGTTTTTAAATGCAACCATCGTTGTATCGGTGTCTTGGACACGCCCGTTGAGCAGTATTCCCTTTTTTCGTCCTGAGTAGACTGCTTGGTTGGTGAATGCGGGGTGCATTTTAACACTTCCATAGAGCATCTTGTATTCCATGAGAGTAAGATGACGAAAATTGTGCCGAATCGTCCACTGAAAATGAAATGCCTTCTGAGCAGAAGAGCTAATGCTGGAGGGGAGTTGCACACCTATGCCTCTTTCAATATCCAACTTCGAGGTAATTACTGATCCACTTCCACAACCTTTCTTCACTGAGTCATCGATCTGGAGAGTGGGCTTTCTAACAGCTCTTTGAGCATAACAAATTGGGAAAACCCGATGCATTCTCTGCAATATTTCATGGTAACCTTGAGCTTCTGGTAATCTTCTGCACTGAGAGCATCCTGCCGGTGTTCAACATTGGTGTCATCTCGCAGCACTGATGTAAGTTGGCGAATGTTATACAAGTGATTCCGTCCACCAAGCGCTTGGACAAGGATTTTAACTGGTCTGGCGACATCAGTGTCACAGCGAAGCTTGGGTCTGGCTAGTTTCAAATTTTCCCGGTTTCCACAGTAGGTACTGAACATTTCAAATCACATGAAAATGTGGAGTAGGTTGAAACGTTTTCATATGTCGTAAGGTAGCTGGAGAAGTTTTGTCCATAATAACTGAAACGTTTCATATGTCGTAAGGTAGCTGGAGAAGTTTTGTCCATAATAACTTCAGAAGATTGAGGTCGTGCACCAAACCGGCTGCCTAAGCTGTGGCTCCATTTATAGCATTCTGTAACAAAGAGTAAGTCAGAGTATATGCTATCCTCAGTTAACCGTATTTGAAATGAGGCACTCTTGAAAAATGGCTTGTGGATACTCTGCCTAAATTGGGCTCATCTCTCCCTACTACGCCTAAATGTGGTGACTTGTGAATCCTATTTCAAGCCCCCGCTTGCTGTTTAAAGTTCTTTGGAATCGCAGAACGCACAGTAGCTCGGAACTGCCTTCACAACAAATAACTTTTAAAAGAATCTTCTCCACAGTCGTTGCAAATGTTTCTGGTATGGTAAGAAGCGTCTAAAATTGTTTTTCCAAAAGGGTTTATTCCTGCCCCTGTTGCGCCATGGCTTTACTGGTGCGCCATCGCTTCTTGAGGTTTCCCTGACTGATGTGTTACTTGGGGCGCCCAATCGCGAATAGCTTATCGATTATATATTTCTATGCGGAACACTAGATCACTGGCTAAAAAACTGAACCGTTTACTTGATGTCATTTACGATACCCTTCAAAACACAGAGTGCCACCCACCGGTAGGTTTGTATCGAACTCACACCAAGATCTTGGATTGGGCGATCAGAAAAATCACTCAAGTAGGCCTTGAATAGATTAGCGTTTTTCCGCCGAAAATGGGCGGGATTTCGGCCAGGTTACTTGAGATAGGGAAATTCATCGTCCCATTTCGTAGGCTTTAACTCGCTCTAGAGATGTCGTCGGAGCTCAGTCATCGTGCCTATAGCCCTCACAATATATTGGATGAATTGTCTGCCACGGGAATCCTGATGACTTGTTGTGTGGCGAAGAGTCAAAGTTGGCCCGAAGAATTCCATTTTCAGGCGATGCATCAGTTTCAAACATTTAGCTTCATCAGGGCTGTTTCGTTGGTACAAGTGATGTGCTTCTCTGGCAGACTTTTCTATATCCGGCAGAGAATAGCAAATTCGAGGGTTCCAAACTCTCCAACTTCAGTGCGAGCGTCGTTTAGCTTTCCCAGGTCACGAAACATCATGAAGGCCTCAACCGTCAATGGTCTTTTCCCGTTTAGTCCCGTCTGCAACAGGAATTCCGGTTTACCTCTCCCACAATCACACCAGTAACTTACTTGCCGGCAGATCGTGTGCCTTATTGGCTGAAATTTATAAAGGATGCTGTTCTCGAAGACTTTTTCTGAGGCATGACAATAGTGATTGTCATTGCACCATTCAAGCTGGTTCCATACTCTGACCGTTGGACATACATGAGGCGATCTCTTATGGAGTTCGGTGAACACATTTGAAAATTTTTTAGCTCAGGATTCACGGTCCGGGCGGCGACTCAGCCTGGTGAATTGTCGCGCAACAATATACAACATTTGGGTGCAAAATGTTTTATTCCACTTGCAAAGGTTTTGCGGCTAAGGGCATTGTGCAACCAAGGAGCCTTTGTGCCGCTCGATATTCCGCGAAAAGAATTCACTTCTCTGAAATTATGTTGTTTTTATAGTACGTTTGGTATGTTTTTCGCTGATTATATGTATTTTTAATTTTGTTAGGTGAGAAAAACATCAAATTCGTCAATTACCTCAAGCCATAAAACAGTGGCTAATGGAATAGGATACTGCGACTTAGAACATTCTGAATCCTGTCTTTTGGGAATTGAGGATTGCTATTCCGACTCATCATCGCGGGGGACTTATTCATTATGATCCGATAACTGGTAATATGTTCGAAGGACTCAAGGTGTACAGATGATAGGTTGCACACCCGTAGGTTGAGTTTTATGGTACATCTTCTGATATCGCCGTGGAAGCATGCTAATCATGATTACTAGCAGCAGTATACTCAGTTACAAACGACATAAACATAAGAGGTTTTCGTAGCCGGGTTCTGGATGATGAGCTCCTGCTTATCGTAACGCCTAACTTTGAGTCCAGTCCATGTGAAGAAAGCTGCCACTGCCGCCTTTTGTACAATAGATTGGTGAAAACAGGCGGCGCGCTGAAATTGCATTCGGCTTGGTGTATCACGATGAGTGGCCAGCTTACGGCGAGCAAGTTTGATAACTGAATGAACCCAGCTGACGCACATGATTACCATAGACCCATTCAAATCGACTAATAAAAGTCAGTGGTTAAACTTGGACGAGAAGAAAAGTTGAATTTTACTGGGTGTTTCAATTAATACACTTGTCCTAACAGGAAGCACACAGTTTTCCTGCTGCGCAGAGCTCACTGAGATATTTAGGTCCTCAAATAATAGTACCATGTAAGGTAGTTCATCGGAATATCGCTGAGGTAGGTGGGTGTTAATTTGAGAGCAATACCCACTCTATAGAGCGAGCACTTCAGCAGCGAAAGATTTATTGATCCCTACTTACGCGTCATCTTCAATAGGTGATCCGCGTTGCGTTGTTTCTTGTAGCTGGTGCCTACTGTATACGACAGAATCGATAAGTCGAGCAACGAGCACCGAAGAATGGATCCGAATTCAAAACGAAAGTGATCCCGACAAAATGTGCTGTACTGTATAACAAAATATCAATAAATCAATTAATGTACAACAAACCTTGACAGTTATCAACCGACAATTAGACCCACGACAAACACGGAGACAAGTATCAAGCGTGAGAAACCAGTTCGAAATGTGCCCAGAATGTTAATTTAAACAAGTGACAATACGGTTCATTTTAGGAACCAAGAACATGTTCATAGTTTGTGCAACACAATGTTTTTATGAATGGGATAGAGATGGGGCGACGAGATAATAAGAAAATGTCAACGAATAGAAGGTAGGATTGGGCGGGGCATTTGAATTTACGCGGTTGAGTTCAGGGAGATTGGGCGGGAGAAATTTTCAAGCGTTTGTGCCGATACACCTCTGAGTAGTAGCCCTCGAAAAATACGAGGCTTACCTCAAATGAATGACACCTCACCAACGAAGGAAAAGACGGAACCCAGTGTCCCTTACATGCATCGCATGAAATTATCTTCCCATTCAACTGGCGCTCTACAGTACGGGCACTGGTTCTATGCTATCAATACAGAGCTATCAATTTTCCCACCTAGAGCCGTAAATGAGGGCGCAGGTAAAACTCCGGGGCACAATGTGCACGGATTCCATGCTTCTCTTCAAGCCGACACCAAAGCTTGCCTTTTTGCGGACCGTTTGGCAAGTGCGCCTTCGCACTCTCTGGACAAACAGGAGGCTGGACAGAGGAAACAGAGCATTCGATTGCGCGCTGATCATGGGGCAAGCACGAGGGTCGTCACCAACCGCGAGCGACTTTCGTAATTTTACATTCGGCATAATGTGATAAGCGATCCGTTGCACACCAGTGGTTAGTCGGTGAGTTACAAAGACAACAGAGGTCAACTTTGGTGTCCGTAGACCACATAGCTCTGGGGATGCACATGCGTTGAGGAAAGCAGGTTTCAACTATCTTGGAGCGCCAAGAACTATAAGCTAATTAACGTAGTCATACCTCGCCTTGCTAGTCTCAGCACGACGGTAGTGCAGCCTTTGTATGGTGAACCTAAGTGCCTCAAAACGGAGCAGAATAAGGTGGCCGTTGGTCTCGAGGATTTATTTTCCGGCACACCGGTACAACTTGTATATCATATGTTCCAGCACCAGCCACTCAGACCCCGAAAAAAAGTGTATGGCATGTCTTAGTGTCTGCCTGGAGCATGCGCCTTTTCAGGCGACCGTCGATGTTCTCAAGGCGGTTGTTCGTCCCATGGCCGAAACCGACCATCCGGAATAGCGAGTGTACTGCCCACCTGTGGGGTGATATACAGCCAGGTAGCAGCGATGTAAAAGACGAATACGGTGTATTTTAGGCACCATTTGCAGCCTTGCCTTTATGACAAAAGGAATTTGCTGCATGAATTGTAGAGCGAAAGATGTATCGGCTGGCTACAGTGTCACTGACCAAAGTTCCTGGAGGTTATATGATTCCTACGGGCTTTCTGATTGTGAATATGGAAATAGCACAAAAATACCGCAACCAAACACGATTCTGGCGGCCATTAAGTGTACCTACAATTTTTTTGACGAATGTCTTTGCTTGGTAAGGTTCACTAGTTACCCCTCTTAAAAGTCTTAACAGTTTATGCACAGTAACCGATTGTTCGCTTTCAACGGGTCACCCATGCCATCTGTGATCAGGAACAAGTGAGACCTGCATTTAAAGATCACACATCACAGGCCTTAGAAGGACTCGTCCAAATCGCTTGGTGGCCACCAGCATTTACTCCATCCAAGATGCGGCAAAACAGCGCTATATGGCGCCATCTGGCACGGGATATGTGGCTGTGGTAGCATTCCTCGACAGCAACACAGACACTCGTCTGGTTTAGCCGGGACGAAAAACTTATCATTCACCACAGTGAAGCTCAGCTACCTGTCAGTTACCCAACAGAGCGGGTAGGCACTTCCGGTGGTAGTTGAATATTTCCTGAATAGTAAAACTTTTGCCGAATTTATCGGCTTCAAACTGCCTCACTTCACACGATAATGTTCCATGCTTCAGCAGTGCCATGCAGGCGTCTAACTCTCATTCGCTTGCCCGTCGATTTACCTTAAGTTAATCATACAAACATTTGGAAACTTCATGTTACTGTTCAGAATAGTAGGAATTAACTGAGAGATGGTTCTTGCGTCACCATAGACAAAACCCTACTGAACTGTTGGTGTGTCATGCTCTGCTTTTATCACCAAATGCACCAAACCTACTTGATTCTTCGGACTCCTGACTTCTCGTTAGTTTCGCAGGTTGTCCGCCTCACCTACGGTGCACCCAATTGTAAAACAAAACGGTGTTGATGTTCCTATTGCCCCCTGCACATAAAAATGCCACGTAATCAGGCTACATGTATTCGTTTAATACCTTCTCAAATGCCGTGAAGGATGAGAAACCGGACAGCCTGAAATTCCCAGCAAACATATCTGAGGTCTTATCTGAAACCAAAGCACTGCAACTTAGAACTTGAATGCACACCAAGGATTAGGTAAGGAAATTACTGTAAACAAATGATACCAAAATCAAGGCAGATTTTGGTAGTTTCTGGTTTCCGTGTACATGCAGGACAATGCAGAAATTTTATGCAGCAAGTGACTGGCGAGAGTTGGCTTATGTAGGGCCTTAAGCGGAGGGAAGCTTAACACGTGAAGAAGTTAAGGAGCTTGCCAGCCGAGGCCACAGAACACACTGGGTCGGGGTTGAACCGGGTGTGCGTTAGCATCCTGATAAACTGCACATGAGTCTAAACACAAACGGAAAGATAAATGTTTCGTCATGATCATTGACCAAACAGTCTAATGGCGAAGCAGCAATGGCCGGCAAAATTCAGGCATGGTGTAACTTCCCAGGAAGAAGGGTGCCGTACTTTTTCCAGGTCTGTACGTGGAGGCTAACGACCTTGCGGGATAAATCATGTAAATGCTGTACCTTTATTCTCCAATGTAGCTGAATAGGTTGTCTAGGTTTGCAGATGGCTGCAACGCGTCAAGATTGTGGTGTTTTGCTGAACATTCGTTGGAATCGCAACTTGCTGTTGCTGTTGTTGCTGTTGCTGCTGCTGCTGCGATTGTTGATTTTGTGGTGTCATCAGCTGTGACGACGTCCCGTTCATCAGCCCATTGGTTAGGTTGGCTAAACCCCATCCGTTGACCAATTGCGCTGGGACTGTTGGGGCTCCCCCGGTGGTTGGTGTACTCAGTTGCTGTTGTTGACTGTGAAACTGGGGCGGAACTGACCGTCACCGCGGTGGTCGGGACAAGCCCGGAATGCGTGGTTTGTGCACAGGTGTATCGCTGCGGTGGGTAGCCAGCTGCCATCAGAGCTTGTTGATACGCTGTCGCTGCAGCTACAGCGGCTGGAGAGGACGCCATACTGGTGTGTGATAATTGTGCGTTTTGCAGACTACACCCCATAAAAGATTTTTACCACTATCGAGCGTCATTCCCTTATCATTCCTAACGCTCTAGGGGGGAGTACAGTGGTGTTTTGCAAATCAATGTTACATTTTCCCCATTTTCTACTCTCTTCATATAAACTTGAGTTGCAATTTGTAAACACTGTACACGTATCATGACATTTTGTTTTATTGTACCAATAATTACATTAAAATCGAAAATGGTGAAATACACAACTTCTTGGCGCGACTTCCCTGCTTTTTGCTGAGTCAGTGAAACTGCACATGAGTCTAAACACAAACGGAGAGATAAATGTTTCGTCATGGTCATTGACCAAACAGTCTAATGGCGAAGCAGCAATGGCCGGCAAAATTCAGGCATGGTGTAATTTCCTAGGAAGAACGGTGCCGCACTGTTTCCAGGTCTGTACGTGGAGTCTAACGACCTTGCGGGATAAATCATGTAAATGCTGTACCTTTATTCTCCAATGTAGCTGAATAGGTTGTCTAGGTTTGCAGATGGCTGCAACGCGTCGAGATTGTCAGGGTTCGGCAAGAGTAGCGAAATGGTTTATTGGCTCAAAGTAGAACGTCCGGAAGATTGGAGCAAGCGAATTTCGCGGTGTCCTACGCGTATGATGATCACACGGTTAATGGATTTTCATTAAAATGGCGGTAACTCATTAGGGCAAACGTATGTTGCAGATCTACCATATAATCGTGCTTTGTAGAAACGGAAACGAACGCAATAAAACTGGGGAACTATCAGAAAAGAGGGGTCATTCTGCTACTCTGACAGAACCACATCGCATCGAGGGCATAACACAACGTTAAGCTCTTGCGGGAGATATGCAGGCAGATTTATCGGGAGGTGGAGGAAGCTTTAGTAGCCGTAAGGCGACTGTGGAACATAACCTAAGCTACTGGTCGGTGCATTTGAGTGAACAAAAACACAACGGATAATTACAAAATTGTATCCATATTTCTGCATGCATAAGCTTCAAGCCCCTTGTGGGCTGTGACAACATAGTTCGGTGTGTTTGTGGGGTGCCATAAATTTGCCGAAAATACTATGCAAAGGCTTTCAGGTATACAAAGTTTTGTTGGTTTGTTCGCTGAGCTAGACATTTCCGAATATTTTGGTGGGTATCCTATCTGAATGTGATGTTCATAGACAGGGTGTACATGTGTGTGCGTACGCAATTTGTAAAACAACCGGATGTCTCAGAAATGAAGAATGAGTATTCTTTTGGGTAAAAACATTTTTGAACGCATGAACTCCATTCTCAACAGCACAGTTTTTTTAACTCTATGTCCAAGATACTTGAGTTGACTTGCAAACTCTTCCCGGTAGTATGATGGTCTAGATGAGCACACGGAACATGCAATAAGACCATGCATTCCAAAAGTGCAGAATTCATGCTGAAAAATAAAGCGAACTCGAATGTTTTGTTGAAGCGTTCCTGTGACAATTGTTCAATATTGTCTAGGATAGCCAGAACTTTGACAATCCAAAGATAAGTGGCCAAATATAAACTTTGTTCCTACGATGTATACAGCATCTGGTGGTCTCTGAGAGCTGAATACATAACAAAAAATGGACGAGTCAGGAGTCCGCAAAAGAAAGTACGAAGAAAGAGACATACCACCGATATGAACCTTTAGGGCGATCAGTAATGGACGGATATAAGTTATCAAGTTTTGAGAACATTCAGCTGCCACGCTGAGCTTATAATTCACAGGTATATAGTTTATGAATAGAAACTGAACTCTGATGAAGAGACCGCAAGCAGGAAGCAAATTCCATAGTGTAGGCAAATAAAATGAATCACTCTTAGAACATTTTTAATGGTCACTGCAGTATGCATCAAATAAATCAGAGATCACATAGGTGGCATGCTTGTGCAGTCGTCGAAGCCGCCGGAAAACGACTAAGTGTTTGGCTCAAGAATAGATTGACAAATGCAGTACTTCATTTGGTTTAAATTACTGTTTTGTTGTGCAGCTGAAGATTTACAGATTTTGCGCACACATCTTCGTGCTTCCTTGTGTTGGATGACAAACGGCGCACTACTTTATTAGCCGCACTCCCCAGCACCATATTTGAGTCTGTGAAGGAAAGTCCCGGCCACATCAGGTCTATTTTACATCCACGATGCACCAAAATGTGGCCGGGTTCTTGAATCACTGGTGTCCACGACATAACCTTTTGTGATCCAGCTCTCTAGTTCAAATCCAAGAGCTATCCAGTGAATCTATATCAAGTAGGAGATTAAAAGCCATACCAGCAGTACGACAAAAGCGCTACCAGACAAATTGTTCTAAAAATACACTGACTGTAAGCGCAGCAGAAAACCTGTTGTTTACTGTTGAATGCCTGGTCTACTTACAGTCAAAGAATGCACACAAACAGTCCCTGTCTCCCGTGAAGACGGCAATTTCAGTGCAAGAAACTGAGTTTATGAGTATGGGTTAATGTGGGATAAATAATTAAGGCTCGAGAGAGCGACGAGTGTGACTGGGAAAACACAATAGTAGAACTTGTTTCTCCTTGGGTCTTCACAAACTTTCTAGCCGTAAATTCCCTCCCTACGTGTGAAGTACACAGGTATTCTTTTCTCTAAAATCGGTCAAACCATCGCGGGAGAAATGGCTGCTCCACGGCCACAAAAACTAGCTAGTAAGTAGTCACAGCTAGGGCGATAGTTACTTTGCGTTAAAATTGATAGGCGAAATAATGCCCGGATCACAAATCCCAAACATGAGTAGACGGACACCGCCGTGCCTATTTGTTTTTTTAACCTTGATGTTCAATCTTTCGTCTACCCCGAGCACTCTACAGAAATTGACTTGTGTGCCTGTGAATTTGACAGGATCCCTGGTACACCCAGTTTTCAGCGGGTATTAGAAAATAAAGAGTTCTTCTTACCCTAATCCTATAGTATTGGCCTATCAAACAGTAGGAAATTTTATTCTTGAGTATTCTTTATAATTTATCCAAAGCTTCTATGAAGCTCGGGAATAGGGCATCCAAATGACGCGCTCATATGCATATATTTGGACGAAATTTTGCGGGCAGCTTGGGAGATTTGTTTCACTGGGGATTTGATAATTCTGCGGCCGTTTCAGCCAAACTGTAAAATCGTTTAGGGGTAGCGTCTTCTGATGTTGAAGGACCGATGTCCGGTCGACAGGTTTCTCCTTAGTAAGTTATTACTCAATGGAATATCACCAGTGAATTGCAGTGGGCGCACCTTTCTTACTTAGGGCGACTACACTACAGCCACTGGTCAGCTACACGTTCGCAGTTTCTGTGTGTTTCGCCCAGGTCTCCACTCTGGTCGGCTTAAATTAAGGGTGAGCTTGTAATTTATCCTTGATTGCTTTGCGCAGTTTATCTGTTTGCTAGCAGTAAAAGGAAGAAAGGCCTCTGTTGCGAAATGATGTATTAACAAACAGCTGCAATTCATCAGACAGGAAAGTAAATATCTCATTTGCACATAGTCTTTACAAACTTAACATTCTCACACATTCTCTTGAACTTTCCTGTATATGCCTTGACTATTACACAATAGTAGACGGTAGCTGCAAAACAGTTACATAATCTCACCAAGAAACTTCACCTTCCATCAGACGCAGAGAAGAGCATGGCCATTAATCGTAGACTACTCTCAAGGTTTATCAGTAATATCTGTAGCGGACTAGGACCTTATCAGCGTGTTGGGATAAATTAATAAGCAAGATAACCAATACAAAATCACAAAATCACAACAGGAAAGGAATGAGTAGTCAAATGGGGACTCACGAATGTGTAGACCCAATAGTCCACTACACCGATCCAAAAGCAGTAACTGGCTGTGAAAGGAAATATTCCCTTGTCGGAATTTCCCACAGATGGTTCCGCGTGCGTGATATATTCTACGGTAGGAAAATTATTCACAGCTAATAAATGTCACAGGGATTTGTTGTGACGTTCAACAGTTGACACGAACATAGAGACTTGGTCCCACTGGTTCAGCAGTCAACAAACAGTTCAACAGAGCGTAAATGCACTCGTTCAGTAAGAAGTCAGCAGGTCGCGCCAGAAAATTGTGTATTCGTAACATTAAAACAAACGTCATGATACAATGTGAACGAGAGTTAAAAAGTGTGGTTCAAGTTCAGGAAGAATGGTAAATGTGACAACGGATTACAGACAGTACATATCCATCGTTACACCAGCATTGCATTGCAACATAAGCCAATCAATCCACTCTGCTAAGTTATAGATAACNTCCGCGTGCGTGATATATTCTACGGTAGGAAAATTATTCACAGCTAATAAATGTCACAGGGATTTGTTGTGACGTTCAACAGTTGACACGAACATAGAGACTTGGTCCCACGTGTTCAGCAGTCAACAAACAGTTCAACAGAGCGTAAATGCACTCGTTCAGTAAGAAGTCAGCAGGTCGCGCCAGAAAATTGTGTATTCGTAACATTAAAACAAACGTCATGATACAATGTGAACGAGAGTTAAAAAGTGTGGTTCAAGTTCAGGAAGAATGGTAAATGTGACAACGGATTACAGACAGTACATATCCATCGTTACACCAGCATTGCATTGCAACATAAGCCAATCAATCCACTCTGCTAAGTTATAGATAACTTTCTACTGTCTAGCACACCATTCATAAGGTCGCGGAAAACTTTAAGAGCCCAGTTCAGTAAGCGATGCTCCGTGGCAAGCAGTACACCCATATACCGATACTATTTTGATCTGGTTTTGTGTGACCTCCTACATTCCTCAGGTTGTAATGAACGACCCAGAGTTCGTATACTATCAAACTTTATACACGACTGATTTACGATAACGTAACTTGAAAAAACCCGCGGCGTACTTAATCCTTCAATTACATAATCGTTCTCAAACCTTATCCTTTTTCCTGGCGGTTTTACGTGATACTTCCTAATCGAGGTCGTCGTGATCTTATTGCA